TGATAGATAATCCGGAGGCCATGCTTTCCGGGGTTCTTCCAGTCTCAGTCAGACCATTAAGTCTGGTCTTTTTACTAGAATTTGAGTTCTGCACCCCACCTTTCTCCTGCTCCATCAGGAACTCTCTGTTGTGTTCGCAACAGGGTCTATTTTATGGTTCGCTGTGGGGGCGAGGGGGAATAATAACATATGTAAAATGCTTAGACAGTGCCTTGCATAGACTGAGATTAAAGAAGCTAATTCATTGGAGCATCAAGGAGTTAAATGAATGAGCTGAAGAAAATCCAGCCAGAGACCCTTCATCAGAAGGGGCAGTATGGTATAGGGGTTAAGGACCTGGGCTGTGGACACAAGGGCTCAAATCCTAGCCATGCCACTTCAGCTGTGCATCCCTGGGCAGGTGACCTCACCTCTCTGAGCCTCAGTGTCCCCATCGGTGAAACCGGGCAATGGTCCCACCTTGGAAGGTGTTGATGACTCACACTTGAGTCATCTGCACAGGGCCTGGACCTAGGAAGCCTCCTTGAATGTTAACTGCTGTCACTGTTACTGCAACAGACTATTGGCATTGACTGGGTCTCGTATGCCAGGCACAGAATGGGTCTACTTTTTATAGCAGCCAAGATGGGGCTGGGGGAGGCAGACACGGGGTAAAGCTCGAGGAAGGTCACTGCCTACAAGATTGCCTATGGGCTCTGGGATCACAGACCTGAGGACCAGGCGCAGCTGCTGCCCTTGCTGTGTGGCATTAGGCAAGTCACGTCACTTCTCTGGGCCTTAGCACCCTCCTCTGTGACTGCTCAAGGCTGTGGGAGGATGAAATGAGATGCTACACACACAGCCCAGGGCCTGGTAAGCAAAGGGTGCTGGGACGGGCATGCTGCTCCCTGCTGCCCCTGCGGCGACTCTTCTTTCCTCCCCACTTTGCCCCCCACCCCCGCCCAGCCCTAGTCCCCCCAGGGCCGCCGCTGTGGATGGAGCATCTATCCAACCCAGACCTGCTTTCCCCTCTCCACACCCCTGGCTCGACTCTGGGCCTGCCTCGATGCCCGGCCTATTACAGCGTCTTCTAGGATCCCCACTGCCACTGCTTTGGGTGTCAGCTCACAATCAGAGACTCCTTCCAGTACACCCATGTCACCCAACCTTACAGAGGGGAAACAGAGAGGGCAAGGCCCTCCCCCAGAGACACACAGCAGATTGGGGTTCCAGATGGGTACAGAACCCAGGTCTCTCACTGCCTCTTCTGGGAAGCTCTGATGTCAACGAACCCCAGTGTGCTGCTGCGCCAGGGCCAGGTCAGCACCATTTACAGTAAATGCCAGGAATGCCATGTCTGCTGGTCCGCCATTCATTACCCACGCAGCCCCCCTTCACTGGATTCTCTCCTGTGGGTGTTAGGCAGGTCTTGGGGTCAGAGTCCACAATAGGGCACAGTGTCACACACATTCAAGCTCCGGGGAGGCCAGTCTCCCCCTCACACCCCATCGTGCACCACGAAAGCCCTTTCCTCAGAACCCCATCCTCACCCTAGCCCTTGTTCTGCTGTTACTAAAGCCCTTCCCCACTGCTCAGTCGGCCTGTAGAATGTAGGTACCCACCCTTTCTCTCGCCCCAGCTCTGCACGAACACCCTGGCCACGCCCTCTCATATCTTTGGCACCCTTCTATACTCCATTTGGGGTCCCTGGGTCGTGTAAATTGTCAGACGCTTGACTGCTAGCCAGATGGATGGTCGTCGGAACCCACCTAGAGGTGCCTCAGAAAACAGGCCTGGTGATTTGCTTCCCAAAGGTCACAGCCTTGAAAATCCTATGGAGCAGTTCTACCCTGCACAGCAGAGGTTGTTGTAAGTCTCAATCCACTTCACAGCAACAATGACATACCTCATTTGGCCCCTCCTCTTTGGCCTGGTTCTCTAGCCCCACCCTCCCAAACTGGCCCCGCCCCCTGAGAGAACACAGCCCTACCCCTATCTGGCCCTGCCTCTCTGACTCGTCTTAGCTGCCCTGTAGTTAGGTGCTCTCCAGTCGGCCGGGACGCATAGAACAACAGAACAATACACTGCCCGGTCCTGCACCATCCTCACAATTGTTGCTATGTTTGAGCTCATTATTGCTGCCACTGTATCAATTCATCTTCTTGAGGGTCTTCCTCTTTTTTGCTGACTCTCTACTTTACCAAGCATGATGTCCTTCTCCAGGGACTGGTCCCTCCTGATAACGAGTCCAGAGTAGATGAGAGGAAGTCTCGCCGTCGTCACGTCTAATGAGCATTCTGGCTGTACTTCTTCCAAGACAGATTTGTTCGTTCTTCTGGCAGTCCATAGTATATTAAATATCCTTCGTCAACACCATAATTCAAGGGCATTAATTCTTCTGTCTTCCTTAGTCAATGCCCATCTTTCCCATGCATATGAGGCGACTGAAAATACCATGGCCTGGGTCAGGCTCATCCTAGTCCTCAAAGTGACATCTTTGCTTTCTAACACTTTAAAGAGGTCTTTTGCAACCGAGTTGCCCAGTGCAATACGTCGTTTGATTTCTTGACTGTGGATTCCAAGGGTGTTGATTGTGGATCCAAGTAAAATGCAGTGCTTGACAACTTCAGTATTTCCTCCGTTTGTCCCTCTACCCCGCCCGCCCCGCCTCTACAACCCCGCCCTTCACCCCGCCCCTTCCGACGGTGGCCCTAGGGGCTCTGCAAGCCCCATGCGCCGCCAAGCAGTGGAACGGTTCCGCGAGTTCGAGCGGCCCGCGCACTAGCTTCAAGGGCAGATGCCTAGACGGATGGGCCTAGACGTCCTGCTTGGGCCACGCCAAGGGGCATGTGCCCCGAGGACCCGTTTAAGAGTCGTTTTTAAGCGCGATGGCGGGCTCTGGGCGAGGTCCGGCCCTAGCGTCCCATGGAGACCCCTCACGGCCCTCCACAGGAGCTGAGGAGGGCGGAATTGGTGGAGATCATCGTGGAGACGGAGGCGCAGACCGGGGTCAGCGGCATCAACGTAGCGGGCGGCGGCAAAGAAGGAATCTTCGTCCGCGAGCTGCGCGAGGACTCCCCAGCCGCGAGGAGCCTCAGCCTACAGGAAGGTGGGCGGTCCGGGGGTTGGGGCGAGTCTGCCCCAAGTGGGCGGGGCCGTCCTGTGGGGGCGGGGCTAGGAATCAAGGTGTCCTGGGTGTGGAGCAAGGCCGAGACTCGCTTTGGGGAATGTGGGCGTGGCCGGCGACCAGGAGGCGAGGTTAAGGGCTTGGGGCGGAGCTTTGTGCGTCAGCATTGCGTTGTGATTGCTCAGAGCCGGCTCTCGAGATCCCTTTTGTGGGTTCGAATCCCAGATCCTCCACTTACTAGCCCGTGATCTTTCTGTGCCTGTTTTATCTCTAAAATGGGAATAATTATAATACTTACTTCACAGCGTTACTACGTGAATTAAATGAGTCAGTATTTGAAAACGCTAAGCACATACCTAAGTCGTTCATAGTCAGCACTAGCTAAATGCTAGTTACTGCTTTTGTAGTTGGGACAGGAGAAAGGGGTGGAGTTAACAACTTGGACGAGGTTGGGAGGGGACTTTAGTGAGAGATATTTTACGAAAATGGACGAGGCTGATGTGATTTTTTCGTGCAACAATTATTTATTAAGCACCTTCTATTTCCAGACATTATTCTAGGTGCTTGGGCTGCAGCAGTGAACAAAAAAGACAACAGATTTAAGGAAAATAAAGTATAGAATAAAGTGGAAGGCGATGTGTGCTATGGATGCCAGGAGAGGGGCTACACTTTTAAGTAGAGTGGGCAGGGAAGGGTAGAAAGGCCCAAAGGAGGTGAGGGACGGAGCTATGTGGTCATCTGGAAGAGCGTTCCAGACAGAGAGAACAGCTAATGCAAACTCTTCCCCAAGGTGGGAGTGTGCTGGCTTGTTGGAGGAATAGCAAGGAAGCCAGTGTGAATGGAATAGAGTTAGTGAAGAGGAGAGTAAGAGATGAGAGCAGAAAGGTAAGGGGAAGGGCAATTTTTAGAGGACTTTATAGGTGTTGTAGGGTAAAAACACTGCAAAGTTTAGTAAAGCAAAAGGAAAGTTTTATTCGGCATATATTCAAAAAGGCAAAAGTGGGAAGTGGACAAGAAGGCAAAAGTGAGAAGTGGACAAGCATGCTGCCAGAGCTAATGTCTGCCTGAGTCCAAAGAATATTACAGAATAAGCAAGAATGGGAAAAGGACAAGCATGCTGCTCGAGCCATGTCTGTCTGTCCGAGTCCAAGGATTACAAAATAGACAAGAATGGAAAAATGGACAAGCATGCTGCTCGAGCCATGTCTACCTGAGCCCCAGGAACATTACAGAATCATCAGTATATATTAACATCACAAGTGGGTAAAATCATTGAAAGCTTCACCTTTTCACTGGTAAAAACTGCTAGATCAATGTGTTCTACATTTTGAATCATCTTTCTTAATTATTGGTACAGGTTTCAGTAATGACAGTCAGGAGGGTCTTCATTGGTCCAACAAATTTTCTATTCACTAAATGCTAATAGAAAAAGATAAGAGTGGAAAGTCTTTTGTGTTCTGTTTGATTGGTTTATGTGAAAGGTTCCCTAAAAGATGTTTTCTAAGATTGTCCTAGCTATTGTCTTTATACCTCAGGGCCCAGTTGATGTCCTTGTGAGTCCTTGTAGTCCAGCTCCACATTCTAGGACAGGGAATAATGGCTCCAATATTATCTTCGAAATCACAAGTCATGGTGAGGACTTTGGCTATTATTCTAGGAGGGTTGCGAGCAAAGGAGGGACAGGAATTGACTGTGTTGAACTGCTGCGTTAACAGTAGACTGTTGGGAGGCAGGATTGGGAGCAAGGAGACCAACTACTGTGATTATCCAGGAAAGAGATGGTGATGGTCAGGACTAACCTGGTGTTGGCAGAGGTGAAGAGAAGGGTTTGGATTCTGCATGTATTTGAAGGAAGAGCCTTCAGGACTGGATATGTGGTGTGATGGAAAGAGAGGGGGTCAAGGATATGTCCAGGAATTTGACCTGAAGATGGGGTTGGTAGTCTTGCAAATGGGGAACAGGGGCTGGAGCTCACTTGGAGGAGGAAGACCAAGAGTGCTGTTTGGATCTGTGAAATGAGAGGTGTCTGTTGGACACCCAGGCAGAGATCAGAGATGTGGAGGGGCAGTTGGATATATGAGTCTAGGGTAGAGGGGGAGAGTGCTGGGATGGAGAGATACACTTGGGAGTGGTCAGCATATTAAGAAAAAAACCAAACCCACTGCCGTCGAGTCGATTCCGACTCATAGTGACTCTTTAGGGCAGAGTAGAACTGCCCCATAGGGTTTCCAAGGAGCGGCTCATGGATTCGAACTGCCGACCTTTTGGTTAGCAGCCTAAACTCCTGAATCTGGATGAGCTTCTCAAAAGAGTGAGAAGATAGCATGTAGATAGAAAAGAGGCCTGAGCTGTGGGGCACTGTATCTTTAAGAGGTCAGGGAGATGTGGAGGAACCATCCAAGCAGACCAAGAAGGAACTGCCAAGAAGGCAGGAGGAAGACCAGAGGAAGTGGCATCTTGGAAGCCAAGTGAAGCAAGTGAATCAAGGAGAGAGAGTGAAGTTGGGTCAAATGCTGAGTAGTCTAAGCAGGTGAAGCCTGGGGCTTGACCACTGGATTTAGCTATGTGGAGGTCACTGCCTGGGACCTTGAGAGGAGCAGTTGAGGTGTGTGTTGGGGGGAAGACAGAAGTGTGATTGGAGCAAGTTCAAGAGTGGGGGAGGGGGAGAAGTGGAAATAATACTGCTAGAGGACTCACTGCATTTTGCTGTGTAGGTGAGCCCAGAGAGGGAGAGTGACGTCAAGACAACTTTTTTTTTTTTTTTTAAATGGGAGAAGTAATAGCATGTTTGTACGTTGATAGGAATAGTGTAGGAGAGAGGGGCAAACTGCTGATGAAGGGGAGGGAGGACAGAACCGCTGGAGGAGGTCCCTGAGAAGGCCGTGGAGGACTGGCCTAAGCTAGGATTAGGGACAAGAAGGAGAGTGGAGTAAATCGTTACAGGAGCAGGGGTTGGGTAGATGGGGTGGGAGCTTCTAGAAGTTTCCTTCAATTCTGTTCTCTCAATAATGGAGGCAAAATCAGTAGCTGAAATGTGGGGATGGGGAAGGGGCGTTAAAAGGTAACCGGACCAGCCTTAGTGGGCATGGCCTTGTTCAGTGGTGCGGGAAGAGGTGGAGCTAAGGCCGTGGATATCCGCGCCTCAAACAGGGCCGAGATATGCGGCTCCGCCCTGCGCTCTGAGTGGGCGGGGCGGACCAAAATAGGGGCGGGGCCTCAGCGCACTGCCTCCAAGGACGTGGGCGGAACCAGGCCTGGGCGGAGTCCGGAGATGCCCACGCCCTGCTTTCCACCTCCACCTTGCCCGCAGGTGATCAGCTGCTTAGCGCCCGCGTGTTTTTTGAGAACTTCAAGTATGAGGATGCCTTACGCCTGCTGCAATGCGCGGAACCCTACAAGGTCTCCTTCTGCCTAAAGCGCACTGTGCCCACCGGGGACCTGGCGCTGCGGCCCGGGACTGTGGCTGGCTACGAGATCAAGGGCCCTCGGGCCAAGGTGGCCAAGCTGGTACGCGTGCTGAGCCCGGCCCCGGCCCTGGATTGCCCCGGAGACCCCATCTCTGCGCCGTGAGCCCTGCTCCCCACCACCGTGGGCCAGTCTCGTTACTAACCCCACTGCTAATCGTACCTTTCTGCTCCTGCCCTCCTTCCTTAAACTCTTCCCTGGGGAGGGGGACCCACTGACTCCAGACCATGGCCCTCACCCACCTGGGAGAGGCGGCGCCACCAGTCCTCAACTAGGGTATTGGGAACCAGGGAGGCCAGGTTCAAGGCTGAGTGTTGGTCACTTGCTGCTAAGTGACCCTCGGCAAATTTCTTTCCCTCCTTGTGCCTCAGTTTCTCCATCTCTAGCATGAAGATGTTGGAGAATATCCTGGGTAGGGGCCTAGAAGTCTTGGGTCCTAGTTCCTAGATACCTCTTGACCCACTGTGAGATTCTAAATGAATGCCTTTGCCTTCCTGGGCAGTAATGGTGAAATAACAGGCAGGAAGGGGGATGGTGTTTTGGGGGACAAGACCCTCTCACCCAACACATCCCCATCCTGGTACAATGCCAGGTGGGGCTTCTGTCCAACCCCGGCCTCCCACTGTCCCACTGCCTCCCGCCTCTCTCCTCTCTCCCCAGAACATCCAGAGTCTGTCCCCTGTGAAGAAGAAGAAGGTGGTGGTGCCCGGGGCCCTGGGGGCCCCTGACCTGGCCCCTGTTGACGTCGAATTCTCCTTCCCTAAGTTCTCTCGGCTGCGTCGGGGCCTTAAAGTCGATGCCGTCAAGGGTCCTGTCCCAGCTGTCCCAGCCCGCCGGCGCCTCCAGCTGCCCCGGCTTCGGGTACGAGAAGTGGCTGAGGAGACTCAGGCAGCCCGCCTGGCCGCTGCCGCTCCTCCCCACAGAAAGGCCAAGGCGGAAGCTGAGGTGGCAGCGGGAGCCGGCTTCACAGCCCCCCAGGTGGAGCTGGTTGGGCCCCGGCTTCCAGGTGTGGAGGTGGGTGTCCCCCAGATCTCAGCCCCCAAGGGGCCAGGGGAGGTGGCCCCCTCAGCGGAGGCAGCCAGTGGCTTTGCCCTTCACCTGCCAACCCTTGAGCTGGCAGCCCCGACTGCACCTGCTCTGGAGCCCATGGCCATGGGGATCCAGGTCCCCCAAGTGGAGCTGCCCTCCTTGCCTTCACTACCTCCTCTGCCTACACTTCCCTGTTCGGAGACCCGGGAAGGTGCTGTGGCACTGACGGTGCCCACCCTGGACGTGACAGCGCCTACCGTGGGGGTGGACCTGGCCTTGCCGGGCTCAGAAGTGGAGGCCCCGGGAGAGGCACCTGAGGTGGCCCTGAAGATGCCCCGCCTCAGTTTCCCCCGCTTTGGGGCTCGGGCAAAGGAAGCTGCTGAGGGCAAGGTGGCCAAGGGCAGCCCTGAGGTCAAGGTGAAGGGGCCCAGACTTCGAATGCCCACCTTTGGGCTTTCTCTCCTGGAGCCCCGGCCTGCCCCCCCTGAAGCCGTAGTGGAGAGCAAGCTGAAGCTGCCCACCATCAAGATGCCCTCCTTTGGCATCGGGGTATCAGGGCCTGAGGTCAAGGTGCCCAAGGGTCCTGAGGTGAAGCTCCCCAAGGCCCCTGACATCAAGCTCCCGAAAGTGCCCGAGGCGGCCCTGCCCGGTGTGCGACTCCCGCAGGTGCAGCTCCCAAAAGTGTCGGAGATAAAAATCCCAGAGGTGAAACTCCCCAAGGTGCCGGAGATGACTGTGCCCGACGTGCAGCTTCCAGAGGTGCAGCTGCCGAAAGTCCCCGAGATGAAGGTCCCCGAGGTGAAGCTCCCCGAGGTGAAGCTCCCGAAAGTGCCTGAAATGGCCGTGCCTGATGTGCGCCTCCCGGAAGTGCAGCTCCGGAAGGTTCCCGAAGTGAAGCTCCCGGAGGTGCCTGAGATGGCTGTGCCCGAGGTGCACCCCCCAGAAGTACAGCTGCCTAAGGTTCCCGAAGTGAAGCTCCCCGAAGTGAAGCTTCCGAAGGTGCCCGAGATGGCCGTGCCCGACGTGCGCCTCCCGGAAGTGCAGCTCCCGAAAATTCCGGAAATGAAGCTCCCCGAGGTGCGCCTCCCGGAAGTGCAGCTCCCGAAGGTTCCGGAAGTGAAGCTCCCGAAGGTGCCCGAGATGGTAGTGCCCGACGTGCGCCTCCCGGAAGTGCAGCTCCCGAAGGTTCCTGAAGTGAAGCTCCCCGAGGTGAAGCTCCCGAAGGTGCCCGAGATGGTCGTGCCCGAGGTGCGCCTTCCGGAAGTGCAGCTCCCGAAGGTTCCCGAAGTGAAGCTCCCCGAGGTGAAGCTCCCGAAGGTGCCCGAGGTGGCCGTGCCCGACGTGCGCCTTCCAGAGGTGCAGCTGCCAGAAATGCCCAAAGTCCCGGATGTGTGTCTTCCGAAGGCTCCGGAGGTGAAGCTGCCCAAGGCTCCAGAGGTACAGCTTAAAGGTGCGGGGGCCGAGCAGGCTGAATTTGGCCTCAAGATGCCCAAGATGACCATGCCCAAGCTGGGGAGGCCAGGGTCCCCGCCACGAGGCAAGCCAGGCGAGGCAGGCACTGAGGTCTCGGGGAAGCTGGTGACGCTTCCCTGTCTGCAGCCGGAGGTGGGCGGTGAGGCTCGTGTGGTCGCCCCCTCCCTCACACTGCCGTCGGTGGAGCTGGGCCTGCCGGGGGCGCTCAGCTTGGAGAGCCAGGTCCAAGCAGGCGCATTGCACAAGGTGGAGCAGGCAGAGGGCCCGGGGATGGCAGCAAGGGTGGGGGAAGCAGGCTTCCGGGTGCCCTCTGTTGAGCTTGTCGCTCCACAGCTGCCCACAGTGGAGGTTGAGGAAGGGCGGCTGGAGGCGATGGAGATGAAAGTCAAGCCCTCTTCCAAGTTCTCCCTGCCCAAGTTTGGACTCTCAGGGCCAAAGGTGGCCAAGGCGGAGGCTGAGGGGGCTGGGCGAGCCACCAAGCTGAAGGTGTCCAAGTTTGCCATCTCACTCCCCAAGGCTCGGGCAGGAACGGAGGCCGAGGCCAAAGGGGCAGGGGACGCGGGCCTGCTGCCTGCGCTCGATCTTTCCATCCCGCAGCTTGGTGTGGACGCCTGTCTGCCCACAGGCAAGGTAGGGGTGGCAGGGGCTGACGTCAAGCTCAAGGGCTCCAGGTTCCCCCTGCCCAAGTTTGGGGTCAGAGGCCGGGACACTGAGGCTGGAGAACTAGTGCCGGGGTCGGCCGAGCTGGAGGCCAAGAGCTGGGGCTGGGATGGGAAGGTGAAGATGCCCAAGCTGAAAATGCCCTCCTTTGGGTTGGCTCGGGGGAAGGAAGCGGAAGGTCAGGGTGAGCGTGCCAGCTTGGGGGAAAAGCCAGAGTGCACGGGCAGGCAGCTTAAGCTCCCTGAGGTGGAGCTGGTCACACCGGGGGCCGAGGAGGGAGAGCGGGTAGAGGGAGCAGTGGCTGTTAGCGGGGTGCGGCCGTCAGGCCTGCAGGTCTCCACGAGCAGGCAGGTGGGCACTGAGCACCAGGAGGGGGTGCTGAGAATGCCCCCCCTGGGCATCTCTCTGCCCCAGGTGGAGCTGACCGGCTTTGGGGAGGTGGGGCTGGGTGCCACCGTAGGGCAGCAGGCCAAGGGTGCAGCCCCTTCAGCAGAGGGGACAGCAGGCTACAGGGTCCAGGTGCCTGAAGTGACTTTGTCCCTGCCCGGAACCCAGGTGGCCGGTGGTGAGCTGTTGGTGGGCGAGGGCGTCTTTAAGATGCCTGCTGTGACCGTGCCCCAGCTTGAGCTGGACGTGGGGCTGAGCCGAGAGGCACAGGTGGGCAAAGCAGCCACAGGGGAGGGTGGGCTGAGGCTGAAGATGACCACGCTGGGGGCAGGAGCTGGGGCGGGGCCAGAGGGGAGGGAGGAGCAGTCCGCAGGGGTGGAGCATGCTTTCCGCCTCTCGCTGCCTGAGGTGGAGCTCTCGCCACCCACTGTGGGCAGCCACACCGAGTATCAGGTGGCCGAAGGTGAGGGGGATGCCGGGCACAAGCTCAAGGTGCGGCTGCCCCGGTTTGGCTTGCGAGCCAAGGAGGGGGGCGAGGAGGGCGAGAAGGTCAAAAGCCCGAAACTCAGGCTGCCCCGCGTGGGCTTCAGCCAGGGTGAGGCGGCCAGTGGGGAGGGCTCCCCCAGCCCCGAGGAGGAGGAAGAGGAGGGCAGCAGGGAAGGAGCCTCAGGCCGTCGAGGCCGTGTCCGTGTCCGCCTGCCCCGTGTGGCCCTGGCTGCCCCTTCCAAGGTCTCCAGGGGGCAGGAGGGCGAGGCAGTCCCCAAATCCCCTGGTGGGGAGAAGTCTCCCAAGTTCCGCTTCCCCAGGGTGTCTCTAAGCCCCAAGGCCCGGAGTGGGGACCAGGAGGAGGGTGGGTTCAGGGTCCGGCTGCCCAGTGTGGGGTTTTCAGAGACAGGGGCTCCAGGTCCCACCCGCATGGAGGGGGCTCAGGCTGCCGTTATCTGAAGCCCCTGGCAGAAGAGACTTGCCTCCTGTCCCCCCGCAGCACCCCCCCCATCTTGTCTGTGAGGTAACTAGCACTAACCGGGAGGTGGGAGGGGGTCGGCTGACCAGGGTGGGGGCGGGAGGCTTGAGTGCCTGCATCTTGGCCAGGCCACGTGAATAAAGTCATCCAGAGGTAGCACGTGTCGTATCCTCTGTGTGTGTGTGGTTGGGGGGGCGAGGAGGGTGGAGTGTGTGCAGCAAAAGGAGCCCCAGAGGGGAAGTTTGAGGGGGGGCTTGAGCCTGGCTGGAGGGGAGCCTCCGGTGTAGGGGGCACACGGGCCACCCCTGGTCTGAGAAGAGGGTGACCTTGGGATAGACTCAGGTGGGAGTGGGGCCTGCCCTAGTCCTTCATCAGAGCACAGTTGTGGGACCCCTCTGTTGGGGAATCCACCTGTCCTAGGGGACTCACTCACACTGGTACAGGCCCCAAGAGCAGATCGCTCCCCACTGCCCTCTTCCCAGCGCCTCCCTGCCGCCAAGGGTGCTTTTGTTCGTGCAGCCTGGCCTTCCCCTTCCAGTCTGGCTGGTTTGACTGCCCATCCCGGGGGCCCACCCAGGAAGGTCCCTTCTGCCCCTCTCCAGAACCGTGGGCTTGGAGCCTCCACCCCTGATACCTAGCTGCCTCCTAGGATTAGGCCCCAGGGTCCTCAGCCCCCTCCCCCCACACCACTCAGGATCTCAACCCCTAAGCCCTCTCCATGGCCTCCAGACACCCCCCCAGGTCTCTGTAATACCCCAGACTAGACTAAGAAAGCATGCTTTCCAGTCCCAAGTCCCCCTCTCCCTCATGTCGCCACATCTACCCTTCTCACTCTCTTCAAATCATCATCCTCACCCACTGCCCCCCGCCCCATCCCAGAGGGTGAGGCCCAGGCCCTTGAATCATAACAGACCCCCCACCCCCCACCCCCGGCTCAGACCTCCCTTCAGCCCAGGCCCTCTTTGGTCACTGCTTCCTCACATACTTTTTCTTCATCCCTGCAAACATGGTGGGAGTTACCTACACTTAGGGGGCACACCCCTCCCCAGACCCCCAGCATTTCGAGATGTCCTCCCACCATGGCCCAGATCCATCAGCAGTCACCTCTCCGCGGCTACTCCGGGGGCCCCCCGTCTCCCTGTCCTGACTTCTCAGGGCCCTTCCTTCGTCCGGAGAATCTCTCTCCTCTCTCTTCCCTACTTCTCTTTCTCTTTAGCTCCTCGGGCCCTCAGGGCTCCTCCCGGCCCCGTCCACTCCCACAGCCTCCTCACCTCTGTGCTGACAACTCCCAGACTCCCAAGTCCACATGGGGATCTGGTGGCCTCCCGGACGCCTCGCTCAGGATGTCTCCTGGGAACTAGGAGGTCGTGTAGGGTGGTGGGTCGGAGCTCTGCTCTGGAGCCACACTGCTTGGGGTCAGAGTCTGCCTCTGGCACTCCGTTGGGTGACCATACCCACCCGTTGGCATTGAGTTGATTCTGACTCACGGCGACCCCACGTATTACAGAGTAGAACTGCTCCATATGGTTTTCTTGGCTGTAATCTTTACAGAAGCAGATTGCCAGACCTTTCTTCTGTGGAGCCACTGGGTGGGTTCAAACCACCAACCTTTAGGTTAGCTGCTGATTGCAAACTGCTGGTGCCTGGGTGACCATAGGAATTTGTAAAACTTATTTGTGCTTCGATTTTCTCTTCCATGAAATGGAGCTGTTAAGATTAGGTACCTGAAAGAGAAGTTCTGATTCTTACTTAGTATTATGTTAGTAAGGATTAGCTAATGCTGGTAAAGCACTCAATACGTGGTTAAATGTTTTGGGGTTAAATTTCCTAATCTGATCTCAGCACGTTCTCCCTCAGCTTGCTACTTGTCCATGTCCCCGTCTCAGGGACCACCCCATCTTTTTTTGTTGTTGTAGTTTAAGTGAAAGTTTATGTTTCAAGTTAGTCTCTTATACAAAAATTTATACATATATTGTTATGTGACCCTAGTTGCTCTCCCTATACCGTGACAGCACACTCCATTTTTCCACCCCTGATTTCCCGTGTCCATTCAACCAGCTCCTGACCCTCTCTGCCTTCCCATCTCACCTCTGGACAGCAGCTGCCTTTTAGTCTCATGTATCTACTTGAGATAAGAAGCACACTCTTCACGAGTTATCATTTTATGTCCCACAGTCCAGTCTAATCTTTATCTGAAGAGTTGGCCTCAGAAATTGTTTTAGTTCTGGGCTGATAGAGAATCCGGGGGCCATGCTTTTCGGGGTTCCTCTGGTCTCAAACTATTAAGTCTGGTCTTCTTACTAGAATTTGAGTTCTGCACCCCACCTTTCTCCTGCTCCATCAGGGACTCTCTGTTGTGTTCCCTGTCAGGGCGGTCATTGGTGGTAGCCAGGCACCATCTAGTTCTTCTGGTCTCAGGCTGATGAAGTCTCTGGTTTGTGTGGCCCTTTCTGTCTCTTGGGCTAATACTTTCCTGGTGTCTTTGGTGTTCTTCATTCTCCTTTACTCCAGGTGGTTGGGACAAATTGATGCATCTTAGATGGCCACTTGCAAGCTTTTAATACCCCAGATGCCACTCACCAAAGTAGGATGCAGAACATTTTCTTAATAAACTTTGTTATGCTAGTTGACCTAGATGTCCCCCGAAAGCATGGTCCCCAGACCCCCACCCCTGCTACTCTGTCCCTCGAAGTGTCTGATTGTATTCAGGAAACTTCTTAGCTTCGGTTTAGTCCAGTTGCGTTGACTTCCCCTGTAATGAGTGCTGTCCTTCCGTTTACCTAAGATCATTCTTAGTATTATCTAGTTAGTGAATAACCCTCACCCTCCCTCCCCACCCTCGTAACCATCAAAGAATGTTTTCTTCTGTGTTTAAACCTTTTCTGGAGTTCTTATAAAAGTGGATTTATACATATTTGTCTTTTCTGTGACTGACTAAATTCACTCAGCATAATGCCCTTCAGACTCCTCCATGTTATGTTTCACGGCTTCATCATTGTTATCATTGCGTAGTATTCCATTGTGTGGATATATCATAATTTGTTTATCCATTCGTCCGTTGATGGGCACCTAGGTTGTTTCCATCTTTTTGCTATCGTGAACAGTGCTGCAGTGAACATGAGTGTACGTGTATCTATTTGTGTGACGGCTCTTATTTCTCTAGGATATATTTCAAGGAGCGGGATTGCTGGATCGTATGGTACTTCTATTTCTAGCTTGTTAAGGAAGCACCAAATTGATTTCCAAAGTGATTGTACCATTTTACATTCCCACCAACAGTGTACAAGTGTTCCAGTCTCTCCACAGCCTCTCCAGCATTTATTATTTTGTGTTTTTTGGATTAATGCTAGCCTTGTTGGGGTGAGATGATATCTCACTGTAGTTTTGATCTGCATTTCTCTGATGGCTAATGATCGTGAGCATTTCTTCATGTGTCTGTTAGACGCCTGAATATCTTCTTTGGCGAAGTGCCTGTTCATATCCTTTGCCCGTTTTTTAATTGGGTTATTTGTCTTTTTGTTGTTGAGGCTTTGCAATATCCTGTAGATTTTAGAGATCAGAGGCTGATCAGATTTGTCGTAGCCAAAAATTTTTTCCCAGTCTGTAGGTTGTCTTTTACTCTTTTGGTGAAGTCTTTCAATGAGCACAAGTGTTTGATTTTTAGGAGCTCCCAGTTATCTAGTCTCTCTTCAGGTGCTTGTGCACTGTTACTTATGGTTCATACTGTGTTTATGCCATGTATTAGGGCTCCTAGCGTTGTCCCTATTTTTAATTCCATGATCTTTATCGTTTTTGACTTTATATTTAAGTCTTTGATCCATTTTGAGTTAGTTTTTGTGCATGGTGTGAGGTATGGGTCTTGTTTCAGTTTTTTGCAGGTGGATATCCAGTTATGCCAGCACCATTGGTTAAAGAGACTGTCTTTTTCCCGGTTAACGGACTTTGGGCCTTTGTCAGGGACCACCCCATCTTCACCCAAGCCACAGCCCTGGGCCTCGTCCTGGATGGCTCCCTCCTTTCCCCCCAACCCATCAGTCCCCTCAGCCTGTCCTCTCGGCCTGCTGAGTGTCTCATCCACCTGCCTCTTCTGCCTCCCCAACCTCTCCCACCTGGACCCTGCCGCGGCCTCCTTCCCAGCCTTTGGGCCTGCAGCTTGCCCCGCCAACCCACCCTTCTTCACGCGGTAGTTTTCTGACACTCAAATCTGACCCTTCCCTCCCTTGCTGAAAGTCCTGCCGTGGCTCCCCAGTGCCCTTAGAATAAAGCCCAGATTTAGTCTGGGACTCAAGACTTTGTACAGCCTGGCCCTGCCCAGCTACACCTCCCACATGGCGGACACCAGCTGTGGCGGGTGTTTTCTGAACATAGAGTTAGACACATAAATGCTTTCAAGCCTCTGTCCTCGCCATCCCCCTAGCCAGGAGAGCCTGCCTTTCCTCCCTGCTGTCTGTAGGCATATCCCGTACCTGTACGCCCAAGGTCCACATTTGGCCACCTCTCCAAGTAAACCCTTCACCCGTCAGCCTTTCCAGGGTTCTGCCACTGGGTGGGGGAGGGGCCCAGCCAGGCACCCCACCCCCCCATTCCAGCCAGGTCTCCAACAACAGAACCAGAGCCACTCAGCAACACTGGAACCCATTCAGGGGGGCCTGCCGCCCCTCGTCCCAAGCCAGGTGGGCTTTGGGGGAGGGGTGCAGCCCCTGGCAGACTCACAGTGTGGTGGAGGGGGTAGGGGAGTGCCAGGGAGCCAGGGGCAAACCTTGCCGGAGGAGGCACGAGTGCAGTTCTCTTTCCCCCTCTGGGGGGCCCGCGGGGCCAGCGGCAGAGCAGGAGGCCTCGGCGGCAGAGCCTGGGGGGGTGGGGTGGTGGCAGGGCAGGGGCTGGCGGTGGGGGCACCATGGCCACCATCCAGTCAGAGACTGACTGTTATGACATCATCGAGGTGCTGGGCAAGGGCACCTTCGGGGAGGTGGCCAAGGGC